GGAGCTATCGCGGCACCTCGCGGTAGTTCTTGCGGGGGTTAGCATATATATATATATATATATACACACCTGTATTTAGATACCTAAGTATCTATGTATGCTTGTTATCTCTATCCGTACATGTTGTGTTTACGACTAGTTGTCTTATCTAGATACCTATGCATTTATGTACTTATGTATATATACATATGTACACACCGATGTATCTTCAAATCTGTATATCTGTACTACATCTGAATATGTGTCTCCAAATTCACATCTGCATTATGTTTTGCTTTTGTGTATCATATATGTTTGCACGAAAAAGACACACATATCCTCCGACGGTTCAGAAGATCTCGTCAACAGACCATGGCTTCTGCAGGATCTGCCGACGCGGCTCGCCCCGAATGTCTGCAAGACTTGATTTGTAATGCATCACGGTGCCGGTGTCATTGTTCACTGGAAATGCTCTGATGCCAGGTGCCGGTCTTCGACAACTTGTCTGAGGTTGATTGCAGCATGCAGTGTGATGAAGTGCGATGCATTGGATGCTTTTTACGTGCGAGACGTGCGTTCTTCTAAAGATGATGGGATGAACATGTTGGGACAGGAACCCATGATGTGCGGCGTCATATGCCCGATCCATTTCCATCAAATGGTTGGACTTGCGGGGTGTTGGTCAGAACGAATATCAGAAACGGCCGAGATGGGCCTTAATGTTGTTTCCACGGAATGGGGGGGCTGACAAGTAGTGTTGAACTTTCACAATCCCAAAGGTGTGGCACCGTTTTGGTTCCATGTGTGACTGCAGCAGGTGGCTTCGGGAAAATATTCTTTCCGCGCTTCTGCACAGGCTCGGCAGAGGACGCATCCACTGACTCGCTGGATGTTGCATAGGCACTTGTTCAGGTTGCGACTCTGTGCTTGAAGCCGTGTGTGACCCTGAAGCGCTTGATACGTTAGTCCATCGTTCCGTCTTCGACAAGTCTGGTCATGTGGCACGAGGCTACGGTCAAGTTCGGATGCGGATTACGACTCTCTGACACGGTTAGTAACGCTTTTGTTTGCGAATGGCATGGGTGCGCCAGTGCCAATGGCATAGTGCCACAGTGCCAGGTCAGACTCGGTCCAGAGTCCCAAGGCAAGGGCTTCAGTCAATTTGTCAGCACACAGTCTTAAGAGCCTGGCTTAGGACTCTTCTGCGCATGGGATGTGCACTCAGCTGAACTCTGGAGGCTGTTGCTTGCCAAGAGGTCGTCTTGTGTAAGAGCGAGGAGTGAAGACGCGACGCATCAGGTGAATCGCTTTCCGGCTCGGTAGTGGTCGGCTGCTCGGCTTAAGCCAGCAACGCGCGTTACTCAGTCTTAGATCAGGTGGACAAGCTGTTGCACATGCCAAGTCCAACTTACGAGGCACACTGTTGAACAAGCTCCCGTTTTCATCAGTTTTGCCGACAGATCGAACTCACCACACATCCGGGCAACAACTTCATCGAGCTACCGCGCATGACGGAGAATTCCAGAGCAAGTGACTGCGTCCCCAAAAGTTTGAGATGCGTGGCGACTCGTCAGGACTTGAAAGCGAAGCAGAAGCTTCACTGCGAAGCCTCTGGTGAAAGGCGGTGCAGATGCCCCAGGGCCTCGGGCCACTCGGGCCTTCCCATTCTATGAACATTGCTCTTCTCCGCTAAGGCTCTCTGGATGCCACATTTAGCTTCGACGCTGCCTCCGTGGGCGTCACCGCCTCCGGTGGGCGCTGCTTCTTGTGCTGCGGCGAGCATTGCAACGAGTCCGTGCGACCAAGAGAGAGAATAGGATTGCAGCGCACCCCTACGCCAGCGACAGACGGAAATGCTCATCCCCGACTCTTCCCACGGACGCAGGGCCTGGATCACATGGCTGCTCTTGAGACTTGGACCCATGTCAAACTGGCTGCCGGAGCTTAGAAGCATCTTCGCGTGTATGTATGTGGACGGACACACAGAAACGCACATACGGAGAGAGAGCGAGAGGGAGAGAGAGAGGCTACCCTCATATTTGGGTTGGTTTTGCCTGGAGGCTTGCATGGTTCGATGTTCAATGGAATCAGACACAGCAGGGCAAGTAAGCAAACTGCAGAGGCCCTCCTTCTTCCCAGAGTACGAACGTGCTGCAAAACACTAAGGGACGACATGAGGGGAAGGTGAGTATCCGTGTATTGGAGGTTAGTTTTGGGGCGGAGTTTCAGAACATGGTCCCGGACAGTTTCGGATCAGGACGTGGTCAGTTTCGGTCTCACACCGTGGTCAGTTTGAGGCCCAGGCCTGCAAGAATCGGACTGAAACCTCCCACATCGTGCCCGAAACTGACAGACCCGCGTCCCGAAACTGACTCACGCTGTGCGGAAACTTGGCGCCGAAACTGCCCCTGTGATCCGAAACGGCAGCCGATCCGAAACTAGAACCGCGAAACTCTGGGCACCCGGAAGGTCTCCCTCTGCATTTTTTTGTCTCAACACAGGAATGCAACGAAAATGCGACATGCACCAGGTTCTGCAAGGCTGCGTCACACTCTGATGGCACTGCCTCTTGGCTGCTGACAACGCTGAGTTAGCAGGCCACCGCATGACTGCAGCGTGTCAATCATCCTAAGGAAAGTAGATCCCGATGTGCATCCAGAAACGCAGCACCCCTGGTTTTCACTGCTGTGACTTTGGCTCGTAGGTGACCTTACAGTTACCCACGTTGACATGGCATCAGTCAGGTAACGAACATGTCAATGTGTTGAAAATTGATTGCACATAGCATAGTCTGGTGCACCAAACCTGACAACGGCAGAGGACCTGTGGCCTTCTGGCAGCTCTGGCAACGAATCGCACCGTCAGCACGCTGGTGGTGAAGGTCTCGCACAAGTGTGGTGGCTAGAGCCGTCCCAGTCAGCCGCCAACCCTTCCGAAGGACAGTGCTCGCCATTCGCAACTGGAGGGAAATCTCCGCTTCGATCAAGAGTCCAATTCGAGCATCATGGCCCGCCCTGCAACATGATGAAATCGTTTGCATGTTGTAGCAGAAAAACTTGAGGTGAATGTCCTGGTCACGTTGGAGGACCTTGCAGGTGCTCATCTTGCCGTCAAGCACCCAGACCCAACAGATCCAAATTATTGCGCTGCTTTCGCCTCGGCCCGAAGCAGGCTGCCAGTTACATGCCCTTCGAGCTGGTGGCTGCCGCTGAAAGGTATGCAGCTCAGCCTGCTGCGGCTTGATCCAATGAAAGACGCGGGACACATGGTTCTGTGGCAGGTAAATGCGACTTGCAACCTTGGTAGCCAGATTCAGTTGTGCGTGCATGCATCTTGCCTCTAGCATATTTTCCGGGCTGCTGCAATGCTTGATTACATCGACCTTCCAGTACAAAACGTCTGCAGCCCGTGTCTGCGTGGTTTGCCGTGTGTAATTCGTTGGTGTTCGAAGTGACAGCGAAAGCGGGTTGTGCTGTTTTCAACAGACAGGACTTGATCATGTGGCTTCTTTGCGCTTCATGGTGTGGCTAGTTGGGCGAAACCTTAATTCATGTTTTTCGCTCGTTCGATATTTGCACTGTTACTGTTACTGCCATAGCAGGCGAACCAGCAGATTTTTAGTACTTCTTCCAATGTAAAGGTATCGCTAAGTTCTGCGAAGCTGTTGCCGCAACTGATGCTTCGGCAGTTCTGCGAAAAGGACGCCGACGACGAACTTGTGAGCGTTCGTCATCTTCGTGAGCCTTTGTGTCATCGAATGGGAAAGGGCAAACTGAACAGATCCGCGACACGGTGTGACGTTGCACCCTGACTTGGTGAATAAGCACCGGGCCGTGCCGACTCTCATCTGCCAACCAGGGCTGCGAACATGACAATCGATATCCATCGATGCCGGAATGCTGGAACATACACAGTGACACTTTCAAAGCGACCGGGAGGTCGAAAAAACAATATATCTGCCGCGTGGTCTTCATCCCTGACATGCTCCAACACGGTCTGGTCGTCACGCACGGCATCATAAATCATCGTAGCTGTTTCGGATGGCTTGGACATGAGCGGTATGGTCTTGTTTGCAACGCAGCAGGACACTGCATCCAAGGTCCAAGGATTCGCCACAGGAACTGTGGTTTTGGATGACTTTCATAAAACGGGTTGCTAATCGACTCAGCTTCAGGAGTACTGGTGTTTGCAGCCAAACTGATCGGAAAACAGCTTTATGGTCCTTATCTCGCATTCAGGCTTTTCGGCAGAATCTCGTATGCGGCTTCTCAATCGGTAGCTTTTTCCACTATCTTCTATCACATACGACATCAGGATGTACTGATAGTGACTACTGCCGGGGAAAAATGCAGCCGCGAAGAGCATACATCGTCAAACCCACTTGCAGCCCCATCGTCATGCATCCTTCACTCCTGCCTCAAGCAAGAGCGCGAACACGGGATTTTGAGCTTGAGCACACTAATCGCTGAAGACACCGTGTTATCCTCCATGGGCTCAGGGGCTCCAGGAGCGGCTCAAACACCCCTTGTCGTCCAGTGCTTTCTTAACCTAAGCTGATGCGGCGAGTCCCAGCCTTGAGCGCTGGAAAAACAGCCCTTGTTGAGTTGTTTGCCAGGTGCACACGCTCGATGTCTTATCAGGTCCCGCTAAGAACTGCTGCTTTGACGAATATGTCCTCCAAGAATACAAGCAACGCGCCCATCAGCTCCGATTCCGCAAAAGAGCCATTGATCACCTTCCACACCCTCGTGCCAGCATGACTCAAGTTATCAGATATCACCCACAAGGATGCAAGATCAGGAAGATCAGGACATAAACCGCATTCCATTGCAAATCTTGATACCCCAATCCGCATCTGAGATCACTTCCACAACATGCTGTGTCCCAAAGGTTTCCCTGTATCATGATGTGCATCAGGCAGTATTTTACAACCCCCATCGCTGCTTCCAGGTTTTGCGTGGGGGGTGCAACATCGGGTATACATGTAACCACGCTGCGCACGCAATCCGAACTAGTAGACGAACTGCTCCCAAAGCACTTACTTTTTTGTGGGCACCGGGTGCATCTGCCGTGGGCTTTTCCAAACCTAGAATCCCCGGAGTGTTTCTCGGGTCGCCTCGATTGTTTCCCAAGTCCTTGGAACTGCTTCTTCAGAAAGAGCGGATATCCAGCACCGACGGCACTGGCCCCTCGACTTTCACCTTCAAGCCGCTTCGAATTGATTGACAAAAGCCTGTTTTTTGGCCCCCGCACTTTCCCAAAATATGCCCATCATCCACGTGGCTAATGAGGGCTACTGGTAGGTGCTGGGCCTTGTCGAAGGGAGCGGGGCTCCCCTCGAAACACTCTACTCAAGGTCCTTCTTGTTGAGAGTCCCCAATGGATGCGTCTGCCAGTCACGGGCCCCGGTGCTTTGACCCGGTAAACGGAAAGATAACTCTAGGTCATCCGCGCGGTTTGGATGTTTGTCGGCCTGCGCTGCTTCACTTGTAGATAGGTCTGTCATACGCCGTCCTAATCCAGTCATTGTGAAGAAAAACACTCCCTTCTCGCTCCTCTGGACTCATGCCCCTATCAGACCTTCATGCTGCGGAGACTCTCGATCTTGTTAAGCTCCATCTGCCGGTCCACAAGGGCACCTCGCGCCTCACCGTGGTCAGGGATCTTCTCCTCGTCAGCTATGTCACGCTCAAACTGCACGCCTCGGCTGCGGGCACCCTCACATACCAAACTCCCGAACTCATGACAGGACGCTGATCATCTCTGAAAGTTCTGGCCGGAAACTCTAAGCGATCAACTTCCCTGTTTGCAGGCACCCGCATCGATGTGCTCGATCTCTTCATTGTCTGGGACCAAACGGCAAACGAGAAAACTAACGAAAGCGAAGTTCCGCGAGGGACGCTATCGCAGCGATACAGTCTCCAAGGGGGAAAGTAGTCTCCGAAACAAACCAATACAGCACGTATGGGTTTGGAGCTTCATTGGTTCAGCGAGACACGGACGCAATCAGGTTTGCCGGGAGGAAGTCGATAGTGCAACCTCCGAGGTCGAGGATCTGTGCAAAGGGCCACCTCCGCTCATCGCGGAGACGGAACAAGGAAGAGCACGCACTAGCAGTATCTAGCAGTTAGGCGTCGGCCATCATGTGGACATCAGTCTTGTCGCCTCAAGAAGTAATTTGGGGGCTCCGTCACAGTCATCGAAGAAAGCTAGCGGAAGCTTGCACATTGTGCCAAGCCGGCGCATAGACGAAGGTCGCAAAAGGCTCCGGGAAGTCATTCTGGATAGCGCATCAGGGCCCTCTCGTGGTTGCTTCTTCGTTTTTCGGAATGTAACCGGCAAGTTATCGCAAGTCTGTCATGCGCGTGTTGCGGATGTGGCTCCAAAGGGACTGCTCCCGTACTTCACAGAGTCGTCGAATATCCCCCAGGGTATCAGGATCGACGGATGCCAGGACAAGCGTGACCTGCCAAGATCCTGTGCCAAAACCGACACCTGTCTCGAGGTTTGCAACCAACAACAGGTGGCCCACACGAGGAGTCCCCGTGATCGGACCACTAAGTCGAGAGCGGGTTCGCCTGCTGATATGCCGCAAGAGGCAAAGGCATGTTGAAACAGCACCGGTGCATTGTAAACGTAGTACCTGAAGTAGATGCCAGTCGCAGTGGGAAGGGTTCGATGGTGCTTCCACTTGCAAGCTCAGAGAGAAAATCGTTGCGACCGGAGTCTGCACACTGGAGGTGCTTTCGGGACTTCAGGCATGTGAGTTGTGGTATGGTTAGGATTGCGCCACTCCCTGTGCAATGTCCTGTCGATCCAGCCGTCCGGCGAACCGCCAGGAAGCCGTAAAGCGTCCAAAGCTGTCAGGTCAAAAAGAGATTTTGTACCAGTGTGAACCGTGCCAAAGCAGCTTGACCTGACAGTGCTTTTCATTTTAGTGTCGAATCTTCGTTCGAATTGCAGCCGCAGTGGCTCTTGGATGGTAGCGAGCGGAAAAGTGCGAGTTCGTTCGCCATGGGCTTTTGAGGCGATCAGCCGTTCTGTTTTCTGCACCCTCTCCATAACTGTCGAGAACGGTGCACGCACCGGCCCTCGAAGTCGGGCTTATTCGCGGGAACTTTTATGCCTGGCATCAGTACCCAGCCGTGGTGTCAGCACCCAGCCGTCCTTTTAACGCCATGCCTACAAACATTGTTGGAGCTTCGAGATTGCCTTAACTGATGGGATGATGTGCTTTGCTGTTCACGTTGAAAAGAATCGATAACACCTGATTCCTCGGTGATTTTGTTCAGGCGTCAGGATTCTTGTACATCTCAGCCCCATGTGTAATATGGTCAAAGCGCGTAAATTGAAGCGTTCCGGTTCATGAGTGTAAGGAACTTTCTCTCTCGCTCTCTCGGGGGAGAGAGGGGGAGAGAGGGAAGGGGGAGCGGGGGAGAGAGGGGGAGAGAGGGGGAGAGAGAGAGAGGGAGAGGCTGTTGTCAGGACCCGAGCTACTGCTATCTGATTTCCACCACAAGCACCTCTATCCGTTTTGATCTGGGGTATGTGATATTACTTGTGATATCTGTGGCTTGCGTGAGGATATTGAGAATGGCGATATTGAGGATGTGGAGGAGTTATCTTCAAAATGGTGCAGCATCCAGCCATGGGTTCGCAGTAGTTCGTCCGGCAGAGCGGTGGGCCGAATTCGGTTGAAAGCCGTTTCTCAACCACAACACGAGAGTTACAGGAACCGTGCAAGTGAGACGTCTCGCTGCCAAAACGTCTTGCCTTCAACCGGTTTTGCATTTCGTGTCTGCGCACAGTTGCGCACAGTAGATTGCTAAGGTCCCCGGAGTCAGACAACATCGCAAATTCCTGGGTTGGTTGTTTTGTGCTTGTCCAGTACCCAGATGCCAGTCTTAACAGCGGTCAACCGGTGAACAACTTTTCTTTCCAGTGCCGAATCAGGTTTTGTGCGGCGGTGGATGTCTCCTCAACAAAAGTCGTCATGCTTCCAAGGCACAGATATTTGTTTGAAGAGCTCGAATGATGTGCGAGCTTGCTGCAGCCAGGGGCACCAGGATGTCCGTGAGGCGGGCGGGCAGTCAGGGCTGCCACGATAAATAAGGCCTGAGTGTGGGAGGTGCGAGCATGATCTGTTAAGGTTGTCCATGCACACGACAAACCAACACTTCAAATCATGAGATGCACGTGCTCGGGATGGTTAGTGGGTGCCTTCTAATTTCTAACATGGGCATGCAGTGCCGGCAGAAAGGCATGGAGCTGTCGAAGTGGTTCCGGTTCTTCGAATCATGTCTTCTAAAGCTGCGTAGTCTCGTTCCTGTTTGATTGCTGGTTTGACTCTGGGAGCTTCTCGGATGGGGAGATAACGGAAGATGCTGGAAGAAGGTCGAGGCAACCTGGAGGGCGCTACTTTCTGCACAGGCGTTGTGTGCACAACAAGCGGTTGGTTCATGTCACAAACTAAAACCACCTTCAGCCTTGAGTCCTTGGGAAGGTCCAGCAAAGCAGTCAGCATTCTACCGAATCACAAGCTTGTCACACACACCGCAAGTTTCAATTCTTCGGTTAGGGAGGTAAGCAGGAGGCAAAATTGCAGGCGCGCCCTAAGCTGATTTTACAGGGCCCAAAGCTCTGTGTTTTCTTGTTCTCTGCTTATCGATAATTCTTGCCGCTTTTGATCAACTGGCCATCGCAGCAACGGTGTGTGCGAACACAATATCGTCAAATCATTGACAAGGAGCATCGTCCCTCGGTTAGAGAAACTTCAGTCTGGCTTCGCTTGCCTGCGTGAAGCCGCGTTGTGAGCGGTGTTCTTAGCTCAGGCACACATGTCATCACTAAATATCATACGTTCGCCATTAGGCAGGATTGGTGATCACAGCCGTCGACAACGAAGTGAATACCGGCTACATTGAGTAGACGATTGGATATGTTATGTAATTACCATGTGTAGTCACAAATAATACCCATGTCAGTGCTGGACCATAGTCAGCACAAAAGTTGTCTGCAAATAAGGAATCCTGTAAAAGCTTCTGTTGGCCTCGGCGTTGATTTTGTTACCGCGGTTTCGTGTTGGTGCAGGCGGATTTCGACAGGATCGAGATCCAGATGGCATACGAACTCCACGAGGACTCCCGTATGTATATTTGAATATTCGTATTTGTTGTCCCGCATGTCTATGTGCAAACGATTCCTTCATAACTCAATGACTGTGCATGCAGGAAGGAGCAGCGAGCCTTCTGGCCCAGCAAAGCTATGTTCCTCCGAATGTCTGACATGCCAAGCTCAGTCTGCCCAGTGGAAGAAACGGTCGATCCATTGCATGCGTATTCGGTCACAGTTGAAGGCTCTCGTGTGACTTCTTTGGTTTGCTCCTTTCTCCTCCTGTTCTTTCTTTGACACTGTCATTCTCAAATGATCTCCCGTGAACGAAGGCCGCGCGGGTGCCCCAGCAACATCGCTCGAAAGAGCTTTAGTAGTTCTTGGTTGTGCCACGGGCGGGGTTGGAACTGGGGAAAGTAGTGGAGCCGGCAAGAAGTCACAGGTGAGCAGAGCTGTTTCCGATTTCCGACAGTCATGACGGAGTCTGGAGTTCAGCAGTAAAAAGCCTACAGGGTCAGCGGGTAATCGCACCGTCGGGTGTCCCGAAACAGTCGCGCGAGGGAAGACAGACTGCTCGCGAGCGAGCAGCTGCGAAAGGCTAGTGACGGGTTTGCTTGAAGCTGTGTTTAGATCAATGTCATGGATCCGATTCGTTCATGTTTTGTCACTTGCACTTGCCCAAACACTTAGAAGTGATCCTTGGCAATCAGGAAGTCAGCAAGCCCTAAACCAGTGACAGTGACGACCAACAAGAAGAGCAACGTTGGTTTCCTCGCGAGCATGGCCAGCGTGGAGCGGGCACTTACGACTCGAGCCTCCCGCGAGTCTTCGGAGAGGCAAATGTAGACCTGGCATAAGCGGGCAGAGCATTAACTAGTGTCGCCATGAATTGTCCAGAGCTCATGAGGTCATGCAGTTTAGCTTCTTGAGTGTGCACTGCTACCACTGCCTATTCAAAGTATTGCCTTTCCGGCAGGGATCGACTGTCGACCATGTGCTGATATGGAGAAGCCTGGGAGAATGTTGGACGAGACGCTCGGTCTAAACTTTATCGCTCTCGCATGGGTGAACCGCTATATCTCTGAAGAGCAGATGCAAAGTCAGCGAAGAAACGAGAGAGAGGGAAGGAGGGTCGCTCCCCCTTGTCTCTGCCCTTTAGAAAAGAGAAAGAGAGAGAGAGAGAGAGAGAGAGAGAGTTTGACCCCTACACCCTAGCCCTGGCGAAAGAAAGAAGAGAGAGAGAGAGAGATTGCTTTGTCCCGTTGAAGTTTGTTGCTCTAGTTGATACCTGCGCAGCCGCCGGAGCCTCGGAAGAGTCATGTACACTATAGCACAGCTCGATCTTTTTTCTATGTGTCGTTGTCCCCAATCTGAACTAGGGGGTTTTTGTTTTCGAGTGCCTGGGACTTGACTACGCCTTGTTTTCAGTTTCTGGGGACAGCATCGCGGACACAGTCACATTTCTCGTGCAGCATGGGGGATCAGCCAGTCCTGTTTTGTGTCATCACGGAATCTAGCCAGTTACGAGTGTGGCCGCAGCCTCAGCATCAGCTTGCTTTCGGCAGTGCACGCTCCCAAAGGAGAACAAACGTCCACTGCTGTAAGTTGTGTGTTTACCGGCTTGCTTTAGTCCGGGGGATGCACTCTACCGCCGAACCAGACAAGCAGTGTGTCGGGGGACTTCCGTCTGTTTACTAGCACGTAGCCTTGTTTCGAAGACCCTCATGCACACGTAGTGTCTACCTAGGTGTCCCAAAATAAAATCTGCACTGTAGGGGAACATGGTCGTGAGGCGGCGGATATCGTGCTGTGTACCTTCCTCTCTACGCAGACATCATACCCGTAGTCGAGATATCATAGGGACTTCTTGTCGCGGTGTAGATATCATACCGAACATGAGCTGCCGACGACTTAGGCGTCCCACAACTTTTCACGTCCCCTCAAAGCCCCGTAACATATGGGGGGCCACTAGGCCGGGGGACCGCAACAGTCCCCCATGCCCGATGAAAGAAAGACAGAGAGTGTGTGAGAGAGAGAGAGAGAGAAAAAAAAAGAGAGAGAGAGAGAGAGAGGGAGACGGACCCGCAGAAAAAACGAAAAGAGGGAGACGGACTGAGCGGGGCGTCAGGCTGGCGCCTCATGCCCCAAGCGATGCAAAGCAAAGAAAGAAAGAGAGAGAGAGAGAGAGACAGAGTCAGTGACCTTGTTCTCTCCCCTGTTGTCTGAGCCCCGGAAGACCCATGTGCGACTCACACCTACCAAAACAGAGAGGCCCGAGGTGGCCGAGCTGACGCGAACCTTGGGGTGGCCTGCTAGCCAAGAGAGAGCGAGCGAGCGAGAGAGAGAGAGAGCGAGAGAGAGAGAGAGAGAGAGACGTAACAAGAGCCAGTCGAAAGCCGAAAGCTCCCCGAAGTCGTTAATGCTTTACACTCACAGATGGTGGGAGCCCGCTTATGCAGCCGAGACCGTTGTGCTTCACCCCATGAAAGGGGAAGTTGTGACAGCTTTGTCTTGCCTAAATGAGCAGGCTGTTTCGTTCGCTGTGTGCTGTGGAGATGTGGGAGTGACTGGGATTACAACGAGCAGCCAAGCTCTCGAGGCCCTGCACTGCGGGTCATAAAAACCAAAGAGTGGGAAATTGACTGGCCGCTGACAGAGGGGCTCTCTCTGGGCCCATGGCAGTGCAGACATCGGTGTCGACTGACAGAGTAGTGGGACACTCAACCGGCAGGCTTCTCCCTAGGATGGGGGGTGCATTTTTCACCCAGTGAAACCTGAAGCAGAAGATGCGCAGCCCGAGCTCGATGGAAGAAGGGAAGGTAACCACTTTGGCTCTCGCTGAGGTGGCCTGTGCCCGACTTGGCTTGAGTGGGGATGCTTGTTACCATCTCCTTACATTTTGCTCGCTCGACCTTTTGGGTGGTGGCAGGACCCTCTCCACTTGACGGCTTTTTGCAGCATGTCCTGCTTTGCGACGTCTTGCAAAGTCTGGGGGAAACCATGGCGGCCATTTGCCGCATCGTGACTGGTGCAGGAGGCCAAACCAAATTGTAGAATGGGCGACAGGGGAAAGAGAGAAGAGAGGCGATAGGGAAACTGAGTGAAAGTGAAACACCAGGATCGGAGAAAGAGCAAAGGAACATTGAGAAAGAGCGAGTCATTGAAGAGAGACGCGGCAGAGAAGAGAAGAGAGCTTGCTTCCATTGCTGGGTATTCAGGAGCATCTATGGCGTTTTTGCTGAAGCCGGTCGGGATGATCGGAGAAAGAAGATTTCGTTGACCAGCAAGACGAGCAAGCCCGTCAGCTTTGTCAAAGGGCAGACTCTGCAGCCGACATCAGTTTCAGCTGCATGCCTGCAACATCTGTTAGCCGCTTTGTCAACTTACTTGCATCGCGAGGAGTTGTAGTGGGGAGGTTACAGTTGCAGGCGAATAGGACATTCTGTAGATGCTCGTGTTGCTGCCTCCCACTGAGGTCGGGTCGTGACAGCTGCGTTTTTCATTAGCTTCAGCACTAGGCCTGCCCATCATCCGCTCCGCACCTTGCATGTTCCGCTGCTGCTGCTGACAACAACAACAACAACAACA